AAACAAGGAAACCACACCTCCACGGAGCTCAGCGCGATTCACAACGTCCCGACCAATCAGAGCACACTGTGCTCACAGGGAGGGTGGGGGCTGGAGCTATTGGAGCTACAACGAGCCGTTAAAGGGGACCTTTAAAAAACTAAAACTGTTAAAAATGAAGGCTTCATCTCTTCTTTAAATTCTCTCCACTTTAAATCCTTTTCACTTTTTTAAAAGACAACTTAATTGTTTTACTGTGAGTGTTGTGTTTTCATACAGGATGGGACACGTGAGTGCACACGTATGCCTAACTTCTCTGGAGATACTTATTCTCTATTTGAGAGGTTCAATGGTCAAATAATGCAGCCTTGCAGAGTTCTTTGGGGTTGGGGGTACTCACTTGGGCAGGTAGCGAGTGGCAGTGATGATCTTGTCTTTGAGGCAAACTTTATGGAAGGTGCGACCCATACTGAGCCAGTACACCGTCTCCTCCACGTCGGCCCGCCGCAGAGACACTAGACCTAAAACCAGAGGAGGACGAGGACACACAACCAGGAAATTAATGCCACATGAGACAGTTTGTGGCATTAATATTCTACAACAAGAACTCTATACGAACAACTTAGAAGTACCTAATCACAAGCGAAATCTGAAATAATAATAATAAAGTAAGATCACTTTGGTGTGGGAACACAGTAGAAAATCTTGAAATGTTAAGGATTTGAAATAAATATATGTAGACAGCAAGTTAAATGAAACATGAGCTCACCCCTGGAGTAGAGGGGGCTGCTGCCCAGCGGGGTGTTGGCAGGCGGCTGCGGCTTCCTGTTGTTGGGCTGCACGATGATCTGGTAGCCCTGCATCAACCTCTGACAGATGAACTCCTCAAACACCTGACCCGCACTCATCACCGGAGCTTCATCTTCACGCCTGGAAACACACAGAGGCAAACACATCGACACTTATTCTGATAATTTGGACAGGAAAACTCATATGACTCGTATTACCTTTTATTCATAATAATAATAATAATAATAATAATAATAATACATGAGATTTTTATAGCGCTTTCCTAATGCTCAAAGACACTTGAGTTGTTATTAGCTTGGTTGTTTTCAAAGGAACATAATTACATGTGATTCTGCCTAGCAGGTAAAACATTTATTTTTAAATATGCACTAACCCTAGTTAATCATGTGAACTTTATGAAAGCTAATGCTGTATTTTCTTCTTTATACCAGTGTTTTCCCCAATGATTTTATTGATCCTCAATCCTAGCGTCCTATAACGATTGATCAAAGTGTAACTTCTGTCATTTTCAACTTGGACCCTATTTTCCCATTTATTTTCATCTAAGTGACTAATGGCGACGCTCTTCTTAAAAATTGCTCCACTATTGAGAGCTGTCGCTGGGGCTGAACTGATCTCCAATGAGGCAATAGTATGTATCTCCACTAAATGTGCACATTATTGCCTCTAACAGGCTCAGATTGATATTAAGTACCCGACAACATTATGGAAAGGGATCCTGCAGAGAAATAATACATGTTTTTTTACCTTTAACATGATCCTTTCTGGGTGACATTGTGTCTAAAAAGGCTCTCGCAAGGAGATGTTTTGAAATTTAGCGAGTGTTGACTTGTTAGAGGGGTAAAACAATGGAAACATATATTTGAGAGAGTGCTGGTGTTGCCAGAGTTTGTTCTGCATGAGTAGAGAAAGCATCAAAACGATTTCCAAGAACATGGCTTAACATAATGCCTATTATGTCAATTTTGTGATTATTGTGATTAGTCACTTAAAGGCCCGGACACACCAAGCTGACACCAAAGAACTGACACAGACGGACCCCCGACTGTTGTGTCGCCTCGCGTCTCTGCGTCTTGGCCATGTGTCGCACTGGAACACACCGCAAAGACTTCAGCCGACGGCCAAGAAGCACGTATGAACTGCGCATGCGTGAGTGGCAATAACTCTCCTTATCAGCAGGCGGCGGTAATGTGTATTCGTCATTCAAAAGAGGCAACAACCGGAAGACAGATTGCGTGATAACCGAGAGAAGAAGAACAGACTGCGTGTGATATAAACAAACAACAAATAGCGTGTGCGTTCCATTTTCACTCTACAGCGAGAAGCTCATGGGGTTTTCCCGAACCTGTGTCGAGAGCTGGAGTTAAAGGGGACCTATCATGCAAAATGCACTTTTGTACGTCTTTTATACATGAATATGTGTCCCCGGTATGTCAGGGAACTCACCAAGTCTCAGAAAACACAACCCTCTCTCTTTTCCCAAATCTCTAAAAACGGGGCTGCAACGGATCTGATACAGACTGATACAGATTTGAAAATTCTCTGACGTCAGAAACAACGAGCTCCGCTTAGTATATGGGCAACTCTCCACCTATCAGGGGAATAAGAGGTTGCCCTGGCATGGTAACAGCATGGTAACAGCATGGTAACATGACGCTCGTGCCTCGCCCCCCTCCTTTGCAGGGGGGCGTGCTCAGCTGCAGCTCATGCAAAGACGGGGCTGGAGGAGAGCAAATAGAGCGAAATGAGTCATGGCTAAAATGCATGATCTGTATGGTAATTTTTTTTTTAAACGTATAAATATACCTTATCGTATTGACGCATGGCCCTACACTATATTATTCAAATATAGCACGATAGGTCCACTTTAAATGAAATCTAAGATTTGCCTTCTTAATAGTTTGTTTGGGTCCCTCACTTCCGTTTCGCTTCTCCTGCACTGATTTGCTAGCTGAACAGCCAATCAGAGTGATTTCTTTTGCCGACAGCCTTTGGCCGACTGCAACATGTCGAATCGGTGGGTTTTCAGCCGAAAAGGTGTTGGCACGGCTGAAAAGACACAACGGTGCGGGACACACCAATCTGAGCAGGGTGTGTCGACGCTCATCGTCGGCCTGACGCCCATCGACGGCCAAAATCGGCCTGGTGTGTCCAGGCCTTAGACACGAAAACATGGGAAAATAGGGTCCATATTGGAAATTAGAATAGTTTTTGTTTTATTTTTCCTGAAATGTGAAGGTGCCATAAGAAGTGCCAGTAGTCTAAAAAATGTTATACTTTTGTATTACTTTTATACAAATATGATTATTTTTTTTGTTAATGGTTTCGAAAGAGAGACAGGTGATGATATGCAGAAATTTTCCACAGGCCGCAATCGAACCTGAGTCCACTGACTCTTTTCAGAATACTTTTAGTAGAAAAATCAACCATGAAAATAAAAATGTAGTAGAACCAAAAAGGATTTGAAAAGTAAAATGTCCTCCATATCATTCAATGAAATTACAGCATTGTGCCAGTGAATTTATGACCAGCTGACGAGTGTCTCAGACTTATACACAGAGCTGTTCTCCGCAGACAGGAGCCTCCTACCTCTCCAGGTCGCTGTGGGGCAGCAGGTCGTAGCAGCCCTCTGTGTAGTCGTTCTGCAGCGCCTGCCGGTCTGGGAAGTAGTCCGTGGTGAGGGGGAGGCAGGCTGGGGTGGTCAGAGACTTCCAGTCCACCCCCACTGTGCAGCAGAAGCTGGGCACTGTCGGGGGTGCAGACAGCAGCAGGGCTTCAGGGGCACCCACACACACACACATACAAAACATCCCCACAGCAAAGACAAGTGCATGTACCCAGAGTGGAGAGGTACATGTGTGGGGGGGCAGGGAAGGATATAGGGAGGAAGGGGAAGCACAGGGGTGTAATAAATAAAGACAGGAGGGGATAGGATGAAGACGTGAAGGTGGAAACAAAAGAGTGAAGACAAACAAAGAAGAGAGTAGAAGAGAGGGGCAGAACAAACAGAACGTGTTACTTTACTGGTGATTCCTGAGCAGCCTGGAGTAGAGGTGCAGTGATCAGACATGCAGATTGTAGCCCGGTGACAGTCTGAGATCAACATCACTCACAAGCAAGTGAAAATGTGTGCAAGAGCCGTTTATGTATATTGTTGGAACGTCATATTTTTTGTTGAGTTTTGTCCTGCAGTATTTTTTTGGAAACTAGGTGGCAAGGATTAGATGCACAGGGATTTATAATCGGCGAATAGGCAGAGGAAACGCACACATGTGTTCCTAGCCCTTTTGTGCTCGGGCCCTGATTAACCTCAAACTATACTGGATATAAATACTGGAAATTCTGTCATTTGTCCGTGTACAATCCCTACAATGGCAACCAGAAAAGGACATTGGGACGTGTAAAAATGTGTTAGAACTGAGTGCGTTCCCTCTACATATGCCCTTCTCTACCTATCAACAATGCCCCTATTTATACCTACCTGTGCATCTAATCACCACCACTAAAACAATACAGCAGGATATAACTTAAAACAATATGACATGCTAACAGTCAGCATAAATGTATCCTACAATGTGTCAAAATCTCAGGAAAGGTGTAACCTGTATAGTGAATTTAAGAAGAGAATCACATCATGCAGACATACAGCTGGTGAGCCAACTCCTAAAAATGGTGTGCAAGACAGACTTTTTTTAACAGAAGGTCCCATTTACAATCAATCAAGAGAAACTGCCATGCAGGAGTGATCTATATATACACAAGGCTCTGTGAATGCAAACAGATCACCGTGAAGGAAAATGATGCTCATTAATTAAAGGAGTTGTAGACATGGTCATATTTCGTCATGAGACTTAAGATCAACAGAAGGCCCAGAGATGAGGAAGGAAAGAGTGGGACAGAGAAAGAGAGGTGACAGAGGGAGGAGGAGGGGGAACCCGAGCCACATGACCTGTAGTTGTTTATAACTGAGACCCCTGGAGACCGACGCCCACAGAAACCTGCCTGCCACAACTGAATGACCCTCACAGGTTAAGGACACCACCAAAGGTTATCTGCCCTTATCAGTATGGTGATTATGAATCACAACCCGATCCTGAGTTTTTTTTACATACTTATAATTTATGTTTTCATAGGGACGAGATGGACTCACTTGGATCGGCACCGTTGAGGGAAACGTCTTCAAATGTGGAGCCGCAATTGTTTATGGTTCCTATACAGAGATCACAATTAAACATATAGAAAGACAGGAACAATATTTTAGAGGGTGCAACCAACAAATAATATATTTTTCAAGTAATCTGACAATTATTTTCAATCTCAAAAAGGAGCAAATTGAATATAGCAGTTTCCCATAGTCCAAAGTAATGTGTAAAAACATTTTTTATGTTGTGCAATATTCTAAACCATAGAGTGTAGTTTTAAACCCAACTTGATTTACTGTCATATACAAGACAGAAAAGCAGCAAATCCTCACGTTTGAGAAGCTGGAACCTGTACGTTTATGACACTTTTTTTGTTTTAAAAATGGTTGGCAATTATTTATTTCCTACCAATTAATTGACTAACTGTTGCAGCTCTTTGAATGACTTCCTTTTTTGAGCTGAACATGGCTCAATCCTCATTTTGAAAGGATAAGGTTGGTTCATTGTTAAAACAAATGTATTGCCCAAAAATTGAAAAGATTTAACAAAAGTTACTTTAAAGGAGGAAATAATGCATTTGTTGGGGACTATTTTCAGAGGGTGGAATGATAAAGGAACTTATAACCCAGTGCAATAGTGTGTCTCATTTATAAAATATCGCCAACATTTACTCAAAAATAAATCCTTGCTATAAGTCTGGTGTTCTTTTGTCACTGCAAGTAAAGCATATTGTTTTTGAGCAGACATATCACCACTATTGTTGCTCCCTGGACTCCCGGTGAACTCCTCCATCCCTCCACCGATGTAAAGGCCGTTCTCTCCTGCATGCCTAGAGACTGTCCGCCTAGAATATAAAGGGAAATAATAAACATTCATGTCCCTGTCTGTGACTGCTCCTAGTACAAGGATGGGTTAAAAGCAGAGGACATATTTCACTGTGTGTGCTGTGTGCATGTATGTGTGACAAATAAAAAAGGTTTCATCATCCGACTCTTCTTCTTCTTGTGTTTTAAGATGCATTTATTTACAAAAGCAGGTGTTTGTTCCTTGTGGAAGGTGGGGCTAACCTTCCAGTGGCCTCGTGATACGCCAGCTCCAGCAGCTCAGCGGAGGTGTGGGCGGGGTCTCTCTGCTGACTGCCCTGCAGCTCAGCCATGTTCTGTCTGGTCTGGTGATGGATCTGGATAGCCTCTCCAGAAGGACCTGCAGAACAACACTCACAGTCTGATGTTTGGATAAATACCAGCGTTACTGCATTCATTTACTTCTTACTCATCCCAAAATAATGTGATGCCTTGAGTTAAAGGGGAAGGAAGTTGCCAAAAATAAGTTAATTGAAATGATGAGAAATTGTATTTTTTAATACACATGTGGTGTGTGTGTGTGTGTGTGTGTGTGTGTGTGTGTGTGTGTGTGTGTGTGTGTGTGTGTGTGTGTGTGTGTGTGTGTGTGTGTGTGTGTGTGCGTGCGCATGCGTGTGCATGCGTGCGTGCGTGTTCCCTCACCAACAGGGAAGGTGTGCATCCAGCGCCGCCGGTTGGAGGTGAGCTTCATGGGCATCCTGGACGGCGTGAAGGGGTTAATCAGTGCTCTTTGGGGGGTGTACCCTCCGGGGCGGATGTGCAGGGTGGACTCAGCACTTCCCACGGTGAACCTGCCAGGGGCACTGGAGTCCCGCTGAGAGTCCATCATCTTCTCCAACAACTCTGAACAACACAGCAGAAAAGGAGAATGGAGTGGAGAAAGGAAAACGGTGGAGCAAACAGATCCCTTGTAAGTGTTTCCCTTTAAGGGACAATTCAGATATTCTGAAGTGTTGCTGTATGAGGTACTTATCAATAACATTTGTTTAACAGGGAAAGCAGATAAACATGTTTTTTTCCACCAAAAGGTCAGACACACCAAAAATATTCAACATCAGTTTACTCTATATTTTGATATTTGATCTGGCCAGCCCTTGCCTACAGGGAACTCAAGGCGTTAACTATCATCTCTTGGAAGCCACAAGCCTCCATTGAAAATTACAGTCATTTATCTTGCAGACTATGGAAGTTTCTGGTTTACTTTTGCCTTGATCGATTTGTTGATGTTCTTGTGTGACTGGTGATATAAAGGGGTTAGTTGGAAGTCACACAATAACACAAACAAACTTACGGATCAGTGGTTGATCAGCAATATCCATGTTTAGCAAGTTGAAATGACTTTTTTTGTCAAAGAGTCTGGTGTCTTATAAGAGCATAGATGACTATACCAGCTTTAATTGTGTTGTCAAAAATGGCTTTCTAAAGGCAAGGTAGAGTGATGAAAATATAAGAAATGTAGTGTCTACTAAAATTGTACTCTTGCCCCCCATACATTCCTTTAAATTAGTGTGGTATGCCTGGCTGTTTCTCCAAGGTGGGAGAATTCCTTTTGTCATTTACCACAGATAATACACTGACCCTGGATAAGTACCTCATACCTCCAATCTATCCCTCTTGGATGTGAATCAGTTACCTCTGGTGCTGGTGTATCCCAGGGAGCTGCTGACTTCATACTGGACAAGAGGCATGCGGGGGATGAGCAGCATGTTGGACACGGGGCCCAGGCTGTCGTCAGAGGCCAGGCTGCGCTGCTCCTCCGGCCCCGCAGAGCGAACAGGAGGCGACGCTCCGATGCTCGCACTGACCTCCACCGAGCCCCAGCTCTTCCTCCCACTGGTCCCACTCGCCTCTCTGTCTCGACCCATTCTGAAAGACACACAGTCATTGATCACCAGGGTTGGAGGTCCACAAGGATAACTCTAATAGTATGCCAGTGGCGTTCCCTGATGCATATTCCCCATAAATTAATATTTTGTCAGTTTTAATTGACAGTGTTTGGAACCTAGCGGCGTAAGTAGAAGATTTCCTGATGTTAAGGTTCTCTCGTGTTATATGGATGATTGTTCCCAACCACGAAGCCATTTTGATGTATTAATATCAAGATTTAGAGCCAACAGACTAAATAGTACTTGTTTTGTTTTTGGTGTGTTCAATTGAAGAATGCTTTTCAAATTAAAATAAAACTCCACGTCGGGGAAGACTCAAGATGTATAGCATATTCATTATTCACCATAAATACTTTGAATGAGTAGATAGTTGTTACCATAATGATAGAAAACAGGTTATTATTCTAAGTACTTGGAATAATAAACAAGTCACACAAATGCCTGGTTAAAGTTGCGCAACTTTCATATAGCCAAAGTAAGCCGTGGAACCACACAGGGTGTACTGTGTGTCTAACTAAAGCTAGTTTAGTGTAGTAAGGTACCTGAAGTTGGTGCTCCTCTGAATTCGTGACGGGCCAGGCAGTCTGAACACCTGAGCATCATGGGCGTCGTAGTCCACCTGAATAGGGAGGCTGTTTTCAGAGTCCTTTGGAGCGCAGAGAGCTGGAAGAGGTTTAGCATCATTAAGATGTATCCAAGGCTCCCTGTTTTATAGCAATCCTTCCATCAACTGTAAAGCCATTGCACAAATCAATCTCATTGTGGCACTTGAGGAAAGTCAGGAGATAACCAATGTCAGAGGCAATTATATAATGACAACAATGAATATCTAAATAATCCAGGAGATGCTGAGATATATTTGACAGTGGTGAAACAGGCCACCCCTGGCATTCTAGAGATTCGAAAGAGCTCAGAGAGGCAACGGGTTGTAACTTACTGTGTTCCTTGCTGCTCTTGAATTTCTCAGCATGAAGCTACAAGAAATGTAGGTTTAACAAGTCAAAACATGCAAAAAATAACTTTTTGAATTTGTTAAAGTCACTCAACAGTCCGTGATCAAATGTGGATGCACCTTGCGTCCGGCCAGTTTGATTCGAGGAGTAAAGGAGCTGCAAGAGTTCTGACTTTTGGAGGTGTAGAAGCTGCAGGTGTGGAAGAAAAATATGCAAGTCATCAGCTTTGCATAGAATGAAAATGTATATTTATTTATCAGCTGAATGTTTAACCTGTGGTTGATCCAGTGAGGAAGGTTGTAGTCGTCTCCAACCCGAGAGTCTCCAGGTGCTGTCCTGTTGTGTAGCTACAGAGAGGATGAACATCAGAAACCAACAAGTATAACATCCAATGTAACAGAAACAAACTTTCTGAATCAATACTGCTCAAGCAGGTGTCCAGTATGAACAGAAGGAATGATGAGAGCAATCAAACCCTGTTTCACTTCCATATGTATGAGTTTTGTCAGACAGACTTTGAAAGCTGTTGACCTATGCTTTAAAGATCTCAACCTTAACATTACTAAATCCCAATCAATATTCAATCTTATATTACAACACCTACCATGTATTACATTGATCTACTAACCACTTGTATGTAATATACACGCCAGAGCCAGTGGTGAAATGTAATTAAGTACATATACTCAATTACTGTACTTATGTACAAATCTGAGCTACTTGTACTTTTGAGAAATTGAGTATTTTTGCATAATGCTACTTTACACTTTTACCCAACTACATTTTGTAGGAAAATAGTCAACGACTATTACTCCAGTGCATATATTTTGCAACTTTAATCAATAGCTACATTACATGGTTTTAGGTTTATCAACCCAGCAGTATTTAAAGTAAACCAAATACAATATTTAAGTGATGAACATACTGATGCATCAATAATTATAAAACAATTATTTAATGTATATGATTGTAAAATTCTGCATGATGAGTACTTTAAGAATATTTTGATGCTGATACTTTTATACTTTTCTTTAGTACAATATTGGATACAGGAATTTATTTTTACACCGTAGTATTGATACTTTAACTTTAGTAAATATCTGAGTACTTATTGCTGCTGAACTGGATTGGTGTATTGACAGGTCTTTCTATTATCGCATTATTACCAATGAGGGTGGAGAAGTACCATCTCTCTGCATAATGCATTACATTTCAACAACACAAACTATTCCTCCATCATAATCCTCTTACCTTAACTAGGTCAGGAAACTGCTGACTTGATGTGTGTGTTTTCAAAACAGGTGTATGAACTAAGCATCTACAGTCCGAATGTATTACCTTGAATAACGGTACAGCGTGTAATGGCTGCTCGCCCATACACACCAAGTCCACCCCGATACCTAAAGAGGGAGAAATCACCTTGCAATATATGACATTATATTTAGCTGACGTGTCTATTCAAAGCAAATTAGAGTGAGGATACAAACCATCTGTCGGACACGTGATTGTGTCATCACTCACCATTGTCAATCATACGCTGCTTGGTGAGAATCATAAGCAGACGGTCCACTTCGAACACCCCCACCCCCGGCGTGATGACCACCGACATCTGGCCGGTGCGGTCAAAGTTACGGTTGATGTAGTGCTTGTCAAAAACTGCGGAGACATGGTCAGTGTCAGCTTTCTAATCTTTATCAGTTAGTAACAAGTGACAGACGCTGACTTATCTGGATATATCCTTCTAAAAAGAATAACTTTTCAAGATTTCCACTTTTGGATACACTTTGGAACTCACGCAGAGAATGAGACTAGAGTGAACGAGGAGAATGAGTACCGTAAGTACTACCTGTTTATATATTTGATTTAATGTTATGAAAATTCAAGAGTTTTCTTTGTGACTTTCTGAAGGGTCAGGAACTCCTTTAAATTAAATATTCCATGCAAGGCTATGTTCCCCAAAATGTTTAGAAAAATTCAGTTGTAAATTATCCATCTTCTCTTAAAAAGATGCTTATGTACACTTTTCTGCTTTTGTACTCTTCCTCACTTCACTTGTATTACAAATATAATTAATTTCCTTAAAGAGAGACAATATTGAAAGTAGCTTAAGGATATTTTATTGATTTTCTAAAGATAATATAATGATCATGAATAACTTTGACCACAATGATCATGTAGTGTACATCTGACAACGTGACAGGATGGTCATGTTATATACATTTTCCTATATATCTATAATAAAAAAATCCTATCCTAAAAAGTCAAAACACAATATTGGATAGGAAAAATAATCAATCACTCAGCATGAACACAGCTCGGTCACAGAAATGTTTTTTTAGCAATTCCAACTGAGGAACTTTATAAAATAACGGATTTAAATAATGAACGAGTCACAATAGCATTTCCGTCTGATTATCACTCTAACAACTCGGTTTGATCACTAACACAATTTAGAATAAGTCACCTAGCCACTGTCTCTCAGATGAGTCAAATATCTATATAAAGGTGTTACAGTTATATGCAGGGGTGCACACAACTTTCTCAGTGAGGTACTCAGATGAGTACCTGGAGTCAGTGTTTGGTACTCCAACTTCCGGCTCCCTCAAACTGCAGAGCTTCGTGACCACAGAGCGTGTGAACGTTGTGATCAGCTGTTTTAGCGCAGTGCTGCTGTACAGGCCGACGTTAACAGCAGCCCTGTCTTTGCACACGGAGACCGACTCCGTCGTCCGGTGATCTAACCGCCTTATGGAAAAGCTTCACATATACATCGGTACGCAAATGCGCTTTGTGACACAAGTGACGGTACGCATTTCAGATTGTTGCCACGCATGCGTACCTGCGTACCACTTATGTGCACCCCTGGTTATATGCCCACATTAAACACCTCCTCTTTTTCTGGGATCAGACATGTTCTGGAATTGGACCACTCACCATTGAAGGAAAGGTTGATGGCCTCCAGGTAGTTTCCTTGAGCAGCAGTGGAGTTGTAACCGACAGAAAAACCATCTGGAATGAGAGAAAATAAAGAAGAAACACAAAGCAGGAGTTTGGTTACAGAAGGCGAACACTGGACAGATCCACTACCTTCTTCCTTCAGCCGCACCAGCACAGGATACTGGATGAAGAGCTTCTTGATGGTGACAAGCAGGGACGTCCACTCATCCCGCCTCTCGTTCTGAGCCACCACCCTGAGCACAAAACAGTGAAGCGCACCATGATCTCCATCCTCTAATAAGTACCTTGGATCACCTTAAAGTCCTTATCTTACATTAAAAACTGTTTTTGGCAGTTGATTTCTGGGGGGTGTATGCAACAGATAGTCAATGTATGTTTCTTTATTTCATACTGAATAATATGTAAAAAAAGGAAAAATATTAGGTCCAATAAAAAAAACTTTGCTTCTGGAAGCAGGCCATTTCGTGACGTCACGTGTGGTTCCCGGCTGCCGCTGTCTGGATCCCTGCTGCCGTCCGGATCGACAGCCAATGCGCGCAGCCAGCGAGAGTTCACAACGAAAAATGGCGTCAAATATTGTTGATGTTTACGCATCAGAAAAAGCTAATAGCGCGGGTATTTGGCACAATTTGACAGAACAATTATTTGGTGTGGACGATGCGAGCAGTGACGATGAATCTGAACGATCTCTGCCGCCTTTTACACCAGAAATAAGAGGCCTAGAACCGTATAGGTTCGAGCCAGCAAAACGCGAATGTGCACCACCGGCCTTCTCTTTCGGGAACAAATGAACGGTAAAACCATCCCAATTGGTGTTGCTACCCCCGCCAACGACACACCTCTTCACCATGATCCTTAAAGCTTCGGGAAATCCGGGAAAAAACAAGACAAACTCGGAGATAAACACTGATACACAAAGTTGAGATGCGGCTATACCAGCAATGCTAAGACAAGACCTCTTAGGTGGTGGGAATGTCGCCTTTTAGTCACTAATACACAATGTTACCCGCAATCGGGTTGGTCCTTTTACTGGTTTGTCTACGTCTCTACGGACGGCACCGCCAGACCACGGCATAACCGCGCGCTGGAAAACGCGCGAGCGACGACCTCCCTGTCACACTCGACCCGCATGACGCACAGCAAAGGACAAACGACGCACCCCCAGACGCCCCTGTCACCGGTAGCGCTTGAGTCGGACTTGAGTCCGGACTTAAGTCGGACTCGTGTGTCCCCTGCGCCTCCCGCCCCACGACTTCCCCGGACGTCGGGTGGGGTAGACGGCTCGCGAGGTGATCGGTGGGCGTGGGGGGGCGGGTGGGGGTTTGCGTCACGTGGATGTCACATTCGTGCGGTGCAAAGCGGACCGACGCTCCGAGGTGATCGTGGGAAGGCCAAGTGTCAAAGCGGGCGGACTCCTCCTCACCACACAACACGACAACTCCCTCGCGAGGTGCGCGTAACCCGAGTTAAGACCTGGTGTACCCCAAGTAAACCAGCAGCCAATGCAGTGAACGCAGGGCGGCTTTTTAGAGGTTGCGTCCGTAAGACCCCCGTCCCGTATGCTGTCCATAAAAGACACAATCCGTCAAAATGAGCGGATGTCCCCCAATGAAACGCTCGGCCAAAGACCTGGGCAAATGTACGTCTCTTTTGGAAGTATTGCTGTGTTCCCCCTGCCCGAATTATTGGCCCTTTTCGTACTGTACGCTGAATTCAAACAAAACAAAACAGTATTAAACCAAATGATAATGAACGTCGATAAAGGTGAATATACGGGAAGTAATTTGAAAGTGAGGGTGATGTATTTTGTGTAATCGGAAAAAATACTGAAAATATTCATAGGTTTTAACGGGAGTTTAACTTTTTAACTTTACCGGAGTTTAACTGGTGTAATTTAAGAGAATGTACGAATAAAATTCGTTACTTGTTCTATTATACTATAGGGAAGTTTTTATATTATGACAACTTTTCTGCGGGTCGACGACGGATTTAGCCACGGAAGAACTATGAAATTCAATATAAACCAGAACTAGTATTAAGACGTGAAAGTCTGACTAATAAATCTTTTGTCCCTGAAAAAATCAATGTATTATTATCTCATAAAAATTCGGTTTCTAAATAATGTAATGACTTCATTTAGAACTTAGACTTTATGAAGAAGATGGGAGAGCCATTGTTGTAATCCTTGTGAGTGGTTGTCAGAACCGGCAACATCTACATGCAACCTTTTCATGGTGACGAGTGGAGTACTGCCACGGTCAAAGAAAGAGGACACGACATTGTAGTTTGTGTGACGACAACAAAGTATAAAAACTTTCTCTACAATGTTGTTTTCTCTTTTTTTCTCTTCTTTAGTGTTTTGGAAGGGTGAACCGTTTCTTCCAGTCTGGTCCCTTCGGCAACGTCGGAAAGTTTCGATGTCTAGTGGACTTTCGTCCTGTAATTATAGTGACGTACTTATGTGTATTTGTCTAGTTTAGGACGAAATGTGTTTAGCACTCTCGCGAGTTTGCATTGGGTATCTACGAGTTTCAGGGTGTAGAGTGTCGAGTTAGACCTACCTTCGTACATGTGGCTACCGTCTGCCACCCGCGCGTTTGTGGTGGACGCAGTGTTCTAGTTCTGTAAGTTCGAACTTATAAGTGACGGTCACAAATAAATAAACTCCGTAGTGGAGTGAAGAGAACTTACAGAACTAGAACACTGGGTCCACCACGAACGGCGAGGTCACGACGGGGTAGCCACATGTAGAAAGTAGGTCTACTCGGACACTTCTACGACCCTGAAACTGTAGATACCAATCAAACTCGGAGAGTGTAACACGAATTCGTCCAACTAGACCAAATACAAAAAGTAGTCCACCTATAATTACACGGACGAAAAGTCCAGGCGCGCGAGACATGAAACTCTTCCGCATTTGCCGAAGGACGAGACTGGAAAAACGGTTCACACCTTCCAAACACCTAAAAAGAAGAGAAAAAAAAGAGAAAACAACCATTGTAGAACGAAAGTTTATACTTTGTTGTCGTCACAAAACTCAATTTGTGTCCCTCGTTCTTGCACGTCAGTACTTTGCCACTGCTGCAGCGATGAAAAGAGTGCATGTAAATGTTGCGGTTCCTGACCAACGCCGACTCAAAAGGAATACAAAATGGTCTGCCATCTTCTTCATAGTCTAGTCTAGCCAATGACAGATCATTACCAATATTATGAAACCGAAATTTTATGAGAATAATAATGATTTCTCAGGACTAAAAGATTTATGTCAACTTCACGGTCTTAATACTAGCCCTGTTTCATATGAATTTCGATAGTCTTTCGTGGCTAATTACGTGTCACGCCAGAAAAAGTTTCATAATGATATAAAAATCCCTATAATATAATAGAACAAGTAACGAATGTTTATGTACGATTCTCCCCCGCTTAAATTTCACAGTTAACTCCGTTAAAAGTTAAAAAGTTAAACTCGTTTAAAACGCCCTATGAATATTTCATAGTATATTTTTCCGATTACACATAACAACATACATCACCCATCACTTTCAAAATTACTTCGTTCTATTATCTCTTATGAGTTCATTTTCGATGGTAACTACCCTGTTTTGTTTGTTTTGAAGTCAGGGTACAGTACCGAAAAACGGCCAAGTTAATGGGCAGGGGAACACGACCAATACTTCCAAAAAGACGTAACAATTTGCCGCAGTTTTTGGGAGTTTTCATTTGGGACCGAAATCGCTGATTTTGACGATTGTGTCTTTTATGGGACGAGATACGGACGGGGTCTTAACGATCGCCGCAACCCCCTCTAAAGAAGGCCCGTTGGTGTCACGTGGCATTTGCCTGCTGGTTTTACGTTTGGGTAACCAGGTTTACCTGTTGAGGCACCTCGAGGAGTGTGTGTGGTGTGTGAGAGAAGTCGCGCGCTTTTGACACTGCCGGCGGACCCCCCCTCCCACGATCACCTCGGAGCGGGGTCGCCCGCTTATTGACACCGCCACGAAGTGACATCGTACACGTGACCGCAAACCACCCCGGCCCCCCACGCCCACGATCACCTCGGGAGCGTCCTACCCCACCGGAGTCGGGGAAGTCGGTGGGGGGGGGGAACAACACAAAAAGGAATGGCGCAGGGAACAGGCCACGAGTCCGGACTTAAGTCCCGACTAAAAAAAAAAGTCCGACTCAAAGCGCCTACCGGAGTGACGAGGGGCGGGTCTGGGTGCGTCGTTGTCCTTTGCTGTGGTCGATGTGGGTCGAGTGCTGACAGGCGAGGTCGTCGCTCGGCGCGACTCATAGTCGGATTACTGCCCGTTTTACTGGGAGCACAGCAGGGTGCGTCTGTGGGCGACTAAGTAAGTGAGCGCACCGCGTGACAGGCGTCTCTGCTGCGTCCGGTTGTCCTTTGCTGTGTCATTTGGGGTCGAGTGGTGACAGGGCGAGGTCGTCGCTCGGCGCGTTTCAGGGCGGTTATGCCCGTGCGGTCTGGGTGCGTCGTAAGAGTAGACAAACAGTAAAAGAACCAACGATGCCGGTAACATTGTGTATTAGTTGACTAAAAGGCGACGATTGCCACCACCTTAAGTAGAGTCTTGTCTCACCCCGCTCGACTGGTTAGTCTCGTGTTCACCCGAGTATCCCTCTCCCTCCCCCGCCCCGTCCTCGAGGTTGTTCCGCAGATCCTGTCTTCACTTACTGTGTATGATAATGCTCTGACAATACTCTTTGGTTACACTCCAAACCTTCGTAACTTGTTACATTTAGATAAGATCATCTGGAGTTGTTACCTTAATACTAGTTCATCTTTACGCCGGTACTGGTAGCCCGTGGAAATTTCATGGTTTTGATTTTCGGACTGCTTACGTCTTGCCTTTACAAGTCTTATAAATAAATAGATATAATATATACAATATATGTAGATATCATATATTGATAAATAAAATCATTGACGTTAGTCAATCAATCATTAGGTAACTTAAACGATCGACCGAAGCTGCGCATATGACAACCACGTCGAATGAAATTTGAGGTATTTATCCACTTGGTATTACAGTTATCCAATATATGAATGCATGACATAAATTATAAATAATTGTCGATGGATTATAAAACTGTATTTTCATCTCTTCACCTTCTCATGTTATATTACGAAAGTTTAACGGCTTCATCCTCAATCTCTCAATAACTTACTCTAATTGCCTTATGGGTTCATTTTTACATAAATTCAAGAATCATAACATCTCATTCCATTGTGTTGATCATGAAGGTTATGCGCAACAGCTCGGTGTCACTCAATAACTTTCGTAAAATAGTACATTATGTTTACATTAAAGTGAGTCTCCTCAAAAGGACTCTAGGGACTCTCCAAAGGTAGTCCGTCCTAGTGCTACCTGCAAAAATACTCCTGAAAAATGTCCAATTGGTACTCGTTGATATGCTGTGTAAACTACTTTATTCAATTCAGAATAGCAACGCATTAAGACTCCGACTTTCTAGTATCTTGACAAAGTTTTACGTAATTGAACAACGCAAGAATAAGGTCATTGTGCACTATATCTAGCTTATAGCAAAGGATAAACGACATTTAGTGAACGAATTATAGCCCCTTTTTACCCAGTTTAAGTACTCCATAGGTCTTTTCAGACCTAAGTTGAACGGCGACGAACCACGACACAGCACTGCAGTGCACACCAAGGCGGCGTTAGGACCACTCAAGTCGGGCAGGGCTCGTAGTGTGTCAGTCCAATCGTAACG